AGAATATAGACTTTCGAAACAACCGCTGGAATTTTAGGGTTGTTCTGTTACGGATATGTATAGACAGGAAGTTCATACATAGTTAATCGGGCCTCTTGTTCCTAAGCTTCCCATACCTGGTCTCGATTTTCATCTATCTAACACCGTCCTCAAGATTAAAGAAGTAGAGTCAGATTGGTGACAGTGGGAATTTATAGCTCCACAATTTTTTTTCAAATTTCGGCCCAAAAATTATCTAATTTCATTTAATGAATATTATAATATACAACATACAATATATACAATATAAACGAGCATACTGACAATCTGCAAAAAATTCTATTAACATTTAAAAAATGGCTAATACGTTGAGACAATTTTCGATCATATTAGAGCGTAGGTAGCTTTTTATTAATTTTAAACATGAAAAAACGTTCATCTGTTCAATTTGAAGCAGGTATACACAGAAACATTCTCAGAATTATATCAACAACATTAAGATAAATAACGTGCAAAACATATAAATCCTAATATTAATAATTATAAATTGCATTGTTTCTCTTGTAAATGATTAACTACGAAATAAGAATTGTGTTAAGATGAATGAAATATTTTTTTTTTCATTTTTTGATGCATAAATACCTCGAGAAACATCTTACATTTCGTACAGTACATACTTTAATTACACATAAGATAAAAATCTCCTTTAGTTATAGCAATTTTTCTCTTTTTATACTGAATATTTGCTATGAGCACATCTTCAAAGTGTGCAAAAAAAATGGTTTTTTCTTTTAAATATAATTTTTTAAAATGCCATAATTTTCCTATTTTATCTATGCGTAAAAAGTCTCTGCTAATGTGGATCTGGTATTAATATATTGTGAATCTGCGGATTTATTCAGCACAAGCATGATTTAGGAAAAATCGAGAAAGTTTTTGGATTAGTGCAGATTCGAAAATTCATTTCTTAGCTTTGAAACAAGGCAAAAAAACATTTTTTTTTTAAATAAGTTTTCCAAGTTATTATTGTTTTAACTAAAAGAATTTTTATTAACAAAGAAAACAATATTTATTGACTTGAAATAAATGTTTCAGTTCCATTATCTTCTGTTTCAATTTTTCATTTTCTAGTTTACAATCCAATCCTTGCTAACCATTCAATAAAAATGTTACTTTCCAAATGAAGAGTGCTGAGTGATCCTTCGAAGTAGGCTATGACAAAAAGGTTGTGAACTACTGGGTGAAGAGTATATTATATGTAAAAATATTTAGTTTTCACTAAAAATAATTCCTTTTTACTTGAACTAGGAAAGTGAGAATTAGCGAAATTATTGTACATAATTAAAACATATTTAACTTATAAAGGATAGAAATAGGTCTATTTTCTGTATATATTGAATACATAAAATATTAATGGTTCACCTAGTTAAGATTTATGCGCAAATTGGCCCCTCCAAAAGTTTGTTCACCACAGTTTTATAGCATCATAATTTGAAGGAAAGGTTAAGAATTTCAAATTAAATCTCTAATATTTTTATCAAGAGTGTGACGATTTACTGAAAAATTAACTTTAGAAATATATCATACAGTCTTATTTTAGTAACGCATATTCTTTATATTAATAAAAGCATATATTAAATAAGTGATTATCAGATAGAACACTAATTCATTTCATACTCGTTTATATTATTTATATAAATTTATAAGTCGTTTATCAGAAAAGAAAACTTGTTTATAACATTTAAAAATAAATTTTAAAATAGGAAAGTAGTGCTTACACGTTATTATTAGATATAAAATGGATACTAATTATAACCACGTCTCCATTATTCTTTAAAAGTCTCCAGTAAGTAGCTAACTTAAAATATAAAATACTTATACAACTGTCATCGAATGATAAATGTTTTATGGATATTTAATAATTAATTCCATCTCAAATTTTTTTTTTATTTCGTATAAAGTTAATTTCGCCAATAACTTGACCTTTAAAAGTGCTTAAAATGAACTGTTTATTATTAATGTTTAAATATACAGCAATTAAATAAGAATAACAATATAAAAGAGGAATATATGATTCATATATATATAATATATGCATTATGCATTTATTACGCGTAGGGTAATATAAAATTCAAGGTGCTATATTCATTGAAATTTAAATTATCCCATTTTGTATGTCCTATTAAAAGCATACTATTTGGTGAGAATTAAAAAAAAATAGGATTAAAATGGGATATGGCTAATTACTAAAAAGAATCAAAATCTCTCGCTGATTAAATATTATCAAATATTCCGTTCTGCAGAAAAAATTAAGCTGGTGAAGTGCCAAAATGTAACCGATGCCAATGGTAAAATTAGCTATAAGATTTATAACTAATGATAACAGAAATAATAGCTATTAATGTTATAAAATCGAGTGAATACCATACAAAACATTTAAGTTCGATTTATTAAACTTATCCAAAGGATATATTCTTATAACTTAAGAAAAAATAATAATAATAATTAAAAGTTATATTATTTATAATAATTAGTTAATATCAATAAAATAATTTACTTGAAAAACAGTATTATTATTGAAGTCTTAATTACCTTCCATCAGATTCGACTGAAAAATTCTCTTTATTTACATTTGTAAATAGTTTAAGTATNATCAAGAAATAATGAAATTTTTCCATCACAGTGTATTTAAACTGAATAATCTATAAAGTTCTTTTTTTTTGTGAATAAAATAAACTTTTCCTACTAAAATTCAAAAAACGTAGGCTAATAGGACAATTGCATGATGTACAGTAGAATTAAAACATACACATGTATTATGTCCTTCAGTGAACGATCATCTTTAAATACAGATTCATACTGAATAAACATTAGTAAAATAGTTTAGAAATAATTTTTAAAATGTATTTTTGAACTTGTTTCTAGCTCATATTAAATTGTATGAAACGTGTTTTGTGTTCTTAATAATAATAATAATAATTAAAAGTTATATTATTTATAATAATTAGTTAATATCAATAAAATAATTTACTTGAAAAACAGTATTATTATTGAAGTCTTAATTACCTTCCATCAGATTCGACTGAAAAATTCTCTTTATTTACATTTGTAAATAGTTTAAGTATTAATATATAGCCAACATTTCTATATTATTTAATTAAATTTTTGGGCTTCCCATTAATTACGTGTACAATTTAAAGGAGGGAGGAGAATTACGAAAAGTACTGTACGTCATTTTACACGCTAGGAAAGGAAGAGTTTCGAGGCATTGTTTATAATTTACATGGACATTTTTTTGTATTTAGGGACGTATAAATTTGTTTTTTAAGGTTGCTTATTGCTACGTGACGTATTTAAAGCCGTTTCTTTAATTTAGAGGGTCCACGAACTCTTGTACACATAATTAAAGTGGAAAAGGTTTGCCAAAAATACACCATTGTAAACAACTCAAAACTATACACGTAATTAATGAATGGTTCCTTTTCTCTAGATTAAATTTCTATAAATTCTAATGAAATTACATAACATATTTCATAAAATTCTATTTAAAAATATAAAATAATTTTAAAATTTTTATATCATTTTAACATTATTTTATATTATTATTATTTTAATAAATTTTAGAATAATTTTTTAAATTTTAAATTAATTAATTAATAATATATAT